GCTACTTCCATTCTTTGCTCTTCTTACGCGCACAATTTTCGTGCCAGAAAATAAAACGTACTTTAAGTCGTCGGGACTAAAGTTTGGAGATGAGAAATCTAGCATTTGTAGAACCGTGTCAGTTATGGGTAACTTTGAGACGGGAATCGATTCGCCTAAAAAAATGCATTATTTTTTTTTAAGATTTGTGTATAGGATTTTGAGAAAAAATTTCTAGTTTACAAAAGTACCTGTAAGCATGCTTTCATTTACTATACAGTCTCCAGCTAATAGTAAAGCGTCGCACGGGAAAATGTGAAGATTTGGATCGGATATTTCAAATATATCACCAGGTACTAGGTCTTCTGAACTTACTACCCGCCCTATGAATAACATAACAATAATACCAAATTATACTAAAAATTCAAATAAAAAGAAAAAATTAATTATATCCTACTTACACAATCCGCCACGAAACACGCGCACATCACATACGAATCTTGACATTTCACGTAATCTTTTTAGCGTCTATAATAAATTATTTATTTTTACATTATATCAAAAAAATTACGGAACCATTCCAATCCAAATAATAAATAGTAGCAAATCGCTCACCTGCTTAGTTTCAATTAGTGTACTAGTAACACTCGTAACGGAAATGATAAAAATGCATATTGCGTAATAATAATACTCGTCTGTACACCAGAGAATAATAGAAAAGATTTGAAAAATGTAAAAAGGGTGTAACACCTAAATTAAACCATTATTAATTTATTAGTCATTCTTTCGTTTTAATACGAAAAGAAAGAATAATAGAATTATGCCAAAGACAAACAAACCTCATCATATAAGAGTTGAGATGTCGATTTTCCTTCAACATCTATCAAATTTGCTCCAAAAATTACTTCTCGTTCATTATGAATTTCACGCGAGATCCCTGTTTTCAGTGACCTAATATTGGTCCATGACGGATCTTTCCAATACCTTTCAGTTGAAATTTATTGATATACTTTAGTTTCTGATGCACGCAAAATAAAAAAATAATACATTGTTATTATTCTAAATATTCACCCGTGTTGAAGGAACCTTCCTAGCCACGGATGAAATATAAATCTAAGATGTCGATGGTCAAAGTAATGCATAAGATGCAAAGTTTCCTCAGCCATATGGTTAGTGCCCAATTTTGCAATATCCGATTCTTCGAGTAAGTCCGATGGAAATATTGAAGCCACAGTGCCTCCATAAAATTTCCTTTGAACTTTTTCGATTGAGATTTCACCCCACTGATTCTAATTTAAAGATAAATTTCCCACGTTGACGTTAATTATCCTAAAATCGCACATCCAATATCACGTTATATATCATATTATATAGCGCTGATTAAAAAAGTGAAATTTACCTCCACAAGTAACCACTCAGCTTTTTTCATTTCACATGCATTACCAACCCACCAAATCCATAATTTTGGCAACCATCGACTTAAAAGGTACAACAAGCCGCCAGATAAAAAACACAATAAATAATAAATATAGAGTCGAATACGATGAAAACGGTAACCCACTAAAGTAAGCTGTGGTTGGGCAGGTGATTGTGATAATTGTGGT